TGTGTGTGTGTGTGTGTGTGTGTGTGTGTGTGTGTGTAATACTAAGGCACACTCATCACCTTGTGAAAGAGGTGGCATGGTGTATTTGAACCTAGTATGGTGCCGGGTACCAAGGGGAAACTCACTGAATATTTGTGGAAAAGGGAAGGAGAGGAGGGATTGCCCTCATTTTATAGATGAAGAAATTCCAAGCCAGGGCCCTGACGCTGTGTGAGGTTGAGGAAGTCTTTGCTGTTTTCCTAAGGAATCTGCAAGGAAACAGAATTCAAAGAGAAGGACATTGAATTTCACTCCTGAGAGAAGCTTCCAATATCTTCACAGGTCCAATCCTCCTCAGAGAAGGTGGAAAGTGTTGGTGGCTTCTGGGGGATTCCTGGTAGCCCAGGCCTCCATGAGGCCAAGTGTTACCATAAAGGTTATCCTGTGGAGATGGGAGAGGGGCCTGCAGTGCTTATATTGGCTCCTTTTGCCGTGAGTTCAGAATCAGAGGCTGTGCTACTCCTATCTCACAGTCTCCCTCTTACTTTCTTCCTTTTGATTCTGAATTCCGATGTGGCAGGTAAGAGGGATGAAAGCTGAGGAGAGACTTCTGCACTTGGAGCACAGAATCAGATTCTGGGCCTCTCTCCTGGAGCTGGCTGGCTATCTTGAGAAGATGGGCCAGGGTTTAGGAAAGGGAAATTTGGACTGTGTCTCAGGGAGGACGATATCCTCTCTGTGCCATCACGTAGAAGAAGAAGGAGACCTGGATTTTTAGGGAGTCTTAGAAACTTGGAATGTGATTAAATTGATTAGCCAGCAAATCTGTAAAATTTCACACAAGCCACGCACTTAATATAGAGCTGGATTACGGTTTGCACTAATTCATAAATTTTGTTTCACAAGCTAAAAATTTTGCTATGCAAATGTATGCAAATCATATAGAAAAATAACGTTGTTAGCCAAGTGTACCAGCACCTGTTGGGGTTTTTCTCTGTTTCTTTGGTTTTGTTTGTTTGTTTCATTGGAACTGTGCCACTGGGGTGAAAAGCAAGGTAATAAATACATTCAATATTAGAATTTGTGTATTGAACAAGATTCTGAAAGATGATTGGAAGGCTTTCTCCTTTAACAAATACTGTGGTGATTGGCATGTCTTTTTTCCTCTTTTTCTTCCTAAAACAGAATGAAGAAGATGAGCAACATTTATGAGTCGGCTGCCAATACGCTGGGAATCTTTAACAGCCCCTGCCTGACCAAAGTTGAGCTGCGTGTGGCGTGCAAAGGCATTTCCGACAGAGATGCTCTTTCCAAACCAGACCCCTGTGTCATCCTCAAGATGCAATCCCACGGGCAGTGGTTTGAGGTAGGCATGTCCAAGGCAATGGACTGGAGGGTTGATTCAGAAATGTTTTTGCATTTCCTTTCTTCAGGTGGTTTATTTTGATGAGATAGAAAATTCTTGAAATGAATACAATCATATTTCTGCTTGCATTGTGATGCTTTGACGCGACTGCTTTAATGCTGTGGATATTTTGACATTTACCCTTAATCTTTGTGTTCATTGTAGACTTAGTGACCCTTGGGGAAGAGCAGGGAGGAGTGCCTGACAGAAGCCACATGACATAACATTTATTTTTTGGAGCGAAAACTTAATATTATCTACATTTTATTGGATACTCACCAAGGGTCAGGCACTGTTCCAAGTGCTTTATGTAAAAATAACTAATTTGGTCGTCACAACAATCCTGTGAGGAAACAGATGAGGAAACACACAAAGGTTAAGGATGTGCCCAAGATCATTCAGCTTGTAAGTGGAAAATCTGATACTTACAACCAGGCTGCTGGGCTCCAGAGCCTGAGCTCTTTCTTGCTATTTTATACTGATGGTGGGTACCAGTGTGGTCTTTGGAAGTTTGTGTGGCAACACTGCAGGTTGAAATCTGCAGTTGGGTTTGTTAATTGATTTAAAAGTTGAAACAGATTGGATGAGGACTCTTTTTTTTAACGTTTATTAATTTTTGAGGGGGGGAGGGAGGGAGAGAATGAGCAGGGGAGGGGCAGAGAGAGGGAGACAGAGGATCCTCAGAAGGGCTCCAACTCAGGAACCGTGAGATCATGACCTGAGCTAAAGTCAGATGCTTAATTGACTGAGCCACCCAGATGCCCCTAATGAGAGCTATTTTTTAAGTTCTATTTTGGTTTGGTTTTCCTTTTTTCTAAGTACCTGGTCTGAGGAAGCAATGTCTTTTTTTTTTAATTTTTTTAATGCTCTCTTATTTTTGAGAGAGAGAGACACACACACAGTATGCGAGTGGGGGAGGGGCAGAGAGAGAGGGAGACACAGAATCTGAAGCAGGCTCCAGGCTCTGAGCTGTCAGTACAGAACCTGACACGGGGCTTGAACGCACAAACCGTGTTTTAAGTTGCACACTTAACTGACTGAGCCACCCAGGCGCCCCTGAGTAAGCAATGTTTTAAAGATCTGGTGTGAGGTGAATAGTGGGATGGAGAGGAGGTGTGGGAGTTGGAGAGATACAGCAGAGGGAGCAGTAATTATCATCTCTAAGGGAACCAGGTACTGCTTGGAATTTGGAGAAGGGGTTTGAAGCCATGCTGAGCAGAGCAGTGGTAGAGGTTACTATCACCTTTGGGTCCATTACAACAAACTCCTCCAGTCTTCAGTACTTCTTCCAACTATTTGCAAATAGCTGGAAGATGTTGTTCCAGGAGGTAAAAGCTTCCATTGCACAGAAGAAAGAGGGCTAAAGCAGCCTGTTTGCTTAATCTTACATATGTGATAAAAGCCACTTCTCTGAAGGGGAGGTTTGGTCGGGGTGAGTGAGCACATGGAATTCAGGTGGAGGCATCTTGCCTGGAGGAATGCAGGACAGATGAGCAGTCTGGGGGTCTTGGACTTAAGACTTCTCCAGTGCTTATATTGTAAACGTAAAATAGCGTTCATAGGTCTCTTAATGTGTAATGTGTTTTTTTCCTTTCTAAATAGTCTCATTGACTCTGTTGATGGGTATTATGGTTTTTAACTTTTTATTTAACAAAATGAAATGGCAGCCTGCATTAGGGAAAACATTACTCTTTGAAAATGAGAGGAAAGAAATTAGAAAGAAATTCATCTCCTAATGCCCCCTTTACATAAGACAACTATTATTTGTATATATGTCTTTTCCTTCTGGCATTCATATTCTTACATGATTCTTATGCATGTAAAATTTTCTTTCCTCATTTTATTACCTAGTAGTATATATTTTTCTACATTGCTGTAATATTAATCATTACAATTTTTAAAGTTGCATAGTATCCCATCACATGAATTTATTTAGTAATTTTCCTGTTTTTTTTCCACTTTGAAGTTGCTTCCAAAAATACCCTATTTTAGGGGCACCTGGGTGGCTCAGTCGGTTGGGCGTCCGACTTTGGCTCAGGTAATGATCTCACGGCCCATGCGTTTGAGCCCCACTTCAGGCTCTGTGCTGTCAGTTCAGAGCCTGGAGCCTGCTTCGGATTCTGTGTCTCCCTCTCTCTCTGCCCCTCCCCCACTCACGCTCTGTCTCTATCAAAAAATGAATAAACGTTAAAAAAAATTAAAAAAAATACCCTATTTTAAACTGCAATGAGTATCTTTGTGCATAATGCTGTTCCCTACTTTTCCATGAGTTCCTAGGAGAGATTGTCCGAGTGGAATTACTGGTACAAAGATAGGAAACTTTGCGGGCTATGATACGTATTGCCACATTGCTTTTCCAGAGTGCTGTATTACAATGTTACTCAAAGTATGGTCTGCACACAGCTACCAGCTCACAAACTCTGTTACCAGTGCGCAGATAAGAAACTTGTGCCACAGTGTAAATTGATTCCCTGCTTCCTTCATCTAAACAGTCTTACTCTTTAAAAACGGTAATGTCAGCTGATCTTCCAGCATACAGAGCAATAGGCTGATTTATAATCTGGCACTTTGAGAAACACTTCTGTAATCTAGTTTATACTCTTAACAGTATGCATTCAGGATACAGTCAGAACAACAGAGCCCATGCTAGGTAGCTAATAAAGGATTTAATTCAGGTACCTAGTAATAAAGGAGTTGGAAATGCTGAGAAACTAAATAGGGACAGTGAGGGAATGCAGGCATCAATGACAGGAACCTGTTACTTTGCTTAGGGTGGGGCAGTAGTGTGCCGAGGCCATCTTGTATAGGTTTGTGAAAGCTGACTCTTACGTATTCGGGAACTTTGCACGCAGTTGTGGTGTTGGTATTTAGACCACAGACTTGGCAGATATTTCAGATCAGGGCTCGACTCCCACTCAGAGCCATTTGGCAAACATTTATCAGCACACCACTGGGCCAGAGGGGCCAGAGGGGCCAGAGGGGGAGGTGGGAGTACTGGAAACAAACAGCTATCTAGCAGAAGCTGGAAGGAAGGAAGGCCTGTCTGGTGGGAGCCAGGAAGATAGAGGAGATGTGGATAGTGCTGGAAATGCTGCCTGAAAGGGAAGTGAGGGTACCCTGGTATCTGCCTGCCTTTTGCTCTCATGTATCTCACTGTGCCTTCCACTGACCAAACCTTGATAGAAGCCCATTGACAAGGTTTGCAGGGAAAGAGTACAGAGTGCACTTGAGAGCAAAGATGTACATGGCCAGCACATAAACCTTCGACAACTCACAGTAACTTGGATCATCATTCCCTGTCTCATCAAGTAATGCATGTTTGTTTAACGCTAACAACTACTTTTCAGTACAAATTCAGCAAGTGGTCTTATGCTAGGAGTTAGAAGCACACCTATGCTACAAGTTAAAAGCATCTGACAGTCTATTTAAACCATGTAGCGACTACTATCCTTGCTTAGTGAAGGCTAGCAAACATGGACACTGGGATAAGATTTATTGATGCATTTACCTGTGTCTACCCCCTACAATACATCTGGATTTGCAGAGAGATTTCCATGTACACTGTTAGAGAACTGAGAGAAATCCTTGCAGAATAGAATTCATGCCGGCTGTGTGCATGTCTTTTTTTTGTGGGGAAATCTGGTAATTGATTAAGTGGAGAAAAAAACAGAGGCTAAGCTGATTTGCATAATGAAGAGATTGTTGGAGGGGATGTGACAAGGTGAGAGAGAGAGAAAAGCAAGGGGAGCATATCTTTCAGAGGGAATTTTAAAGTTTGGCTAAGGGGCGCCTGGTGGTTCCGTTGGTTGAGCAGTTGACTTCAGCTCAGGTCATGATCTCGTGGTTCATGGGTTTGAGCCCCAGGTTGGGCTCTGTGCTGACAGCTCAGAGCCTCGAGCCTGCTTCTGTTCTGTATCTCCCCCTTTCTACTCCTTCCCTGCTTGTGCTCTGTCTCTCTCTAAAATAAATAAACATTAAAAAATTAAAAAAAAATAAATAAAGTTTGACTAAAGAGGCTCTCCAGTCAGCACTGTCCACTGGAACTTGCTGCAGTGATAGAAATGTTCCCCATCTGTTGTGTCGGACAAGGTAGTCATTACCACATGTGGCTACGAGCACCTGAAAGGTGGATAATGTAACTGAAGAACTAAAATTTTAAAATATTTAATTTTAATTAATTTAAGAGTAATTGTAAGTAGTATGGTTCCAGAGTCTTTTGGTGTGCTAGAGAATTTGGCTGGGTGGGTGGGGAAGAGGAGAGTTTGTAAAAATGTTAGAGTAGGCTCTTAATTTTACAACTTCACTGGGTTTGGGGAGATGTAACTAGAGTTTTGACATTTCTTTTTTATTGTGATTGCTGGCCTCTGCTTTTCATAATGGAACTGCAGCAGGGAAAGGGCCCCGTTTTGCCCTGGTTCACAGCTCAGGTTACTACTGCAGTAGTTAGAACTGCTTTCAGATGGCCCTCCCATATGGAAGCAAACTGTTTGCTCTTTTAATATGCTGTAGCTTGTTAGCCCTGGAAAAAGAACATTGGCCTCTAAAGTGATCATGACACTGTAAACCTGATTTTTAGACTCAAAAAGACCTACAGTCTGACCTCCTGTGCTGTTAATAGTATTAAGGGTCAATGAGGATAAATCTATGTCTTTGAAATATTGGAAATCAATTGTACTGAAATGCACAAGGGACGGTTGCTCTTTGGAGATGCACGGAGTTTGGAATGAATATCTGAGGACTGAAAAAAGAGAGAGGATGCTTTTGTTTCCTCCCAGAATATGGAGATGGGATGGTATTCTTGTTGGGTGAAACTTTCAGCATATCTTCAATGGCCATGATTATAAGTGTTAGAAAAGAAGGAAAAAAAAATACTTGTTAGTTGGATGTACATTCCAAACTGAGAATTTCCGAGTTACCATTTAATTTCCCTAATTTAGAATCATACTCATTAAAAAAAAATC